ACGCCGGCCGTGGCGGGGACCCCCCGGACCCCCCGCTCCCCGCTGCGCTTTTTTGGGCAGCGGGCGGAGGACTCCTCCTGGCTCGCAGCTCTGCTTTTCTACCCGATGGAGTTGAAAACCTTTGTGCGAACCGTTCCAGGCTGCCGTGAAGTCTGGGCGTTGTTAATTTCCAGCACTTTAAAGCTGCAAACAACTGTGTTCGCTTGTAACTAACTATTGCTGCACTATCAGTTAGGTAACTGATAGTCTTGGATTTGAAAGCTTATAAGCTTGTTTGAAGGTGAAAGTTTATCTGTATTGTGAAAGGAGTTAGTTGTCTTTGCTTTCCACATCTCTTTTCACACAGGCTGTGTTTGCTCTATAAGAACAGTGACATTGGCTCAGTAGATTGACTTTGCTATAGCTGGTATCTACAGGTTAAATATTGGCTAAAGGCACCAGCTATGCCGACATGCATTCACGCTTTTTCCTTTCTTGTTAAACTGTACTGGCATACCTTGTCATTTATAGAGGCTCAAAAAAGCCCCAAAGCAGTATAAATAAGACGTAAGGAGAAGTGAAGATGTTCCAGAAGATGGCGGGAATATGTTACTTCCAAAATAAATTTGGCATAGTAAAAACCTGGATGTGAGGAGAGAAGCCAGTGCAGGGTGTCCGAGTTGGCTAAGCTTGCTCCAGTATAGTTCGCTTGTGAGTTAAAAGTGAGTTGAAGTGAGTTTACTTCACTTCACTGTGAAGTTTCTCGTTTACTACTTAACCCAGATGAAACTGTCTTAATTTTATTGAAAGTGGTCTCTGGCTGCAGAAATGGTCTCCAGAGGATTGAGGTGAACACTGGAGTTGCGGGAGCAGATAATACTCTGAAGGGGGGAAGGGGCAACGAGAGGCAATGGAAAAAGCTTAGTCCAGAAAAAAAAGAGGGAATGAGTTTCGATAATGACAGAAGAGACCCAGAATTCCCAGTGCTTTAGCAACTGTTGGGCTAAATTGGAAAGACAGAACACTTAGAAAATTACATATAATTACAGCAGTTAGAGGGTGCTATATAATTACAGCAGTTAGAGGGTGCTATTTTTGGCCTTTGCCATCTTGTGAAAATGGACTTTGTCTGTTGAAAAGTCCTGTTGAACGTGTGAGAGTCCTTAGCAATTTGCTGTTATTACCATGCTCTGCTGCTTTGGAGAGAGGACGTCCTGTCACAAACTTACCTTAGTGCTAAGCAACCTATTGTCTGAGTACGGCCAGAGCCTGTTTGCTCTGTGCAGTTAGAACACTTTACTCTTTTGCAAAAGCAAAGATACTGTTTATCACCTAGAGAGGAAAGAGAACTGCGTTGCCTTTACCTGCAAAGATTGCCATGACAAGGGCTGTACTGGTTTCAGACCTACGAGTAAAAAACAACAACAAAAAAATCAAAACCTCAGTAAGGCCCCCCCCCCCCACATACACGCACAACAGAAAAAAGCTAAAATCTAGTAAATAAACTTTTTGTTGCGACATAACTGTTTTGAGTAGACTTGTAACTATTTTTTCTGTTGTAATAGTTGACTCTGTAAATGGCCTGAGGTTTGTAGAGAGAAGCAATGTGGTTTTAGCTCTGTTGTTCTAATAATAGGACCTGCATGCCTTAGATGTTGCCATAATCCGGTCCTCTCTTTGCCCGAAAGCTAATCTGTCTCTCCAAAATATGTAAGCATTACCTTTCTCTACCAGGCTTGCCTTGCACATGTTCTTATGTCAACATGGCTAGAGCAATGGCTGCAGTGTAAATCAGTAACAGATTTGGGTAACAAGTGCACATTTAAACTGTCCAGATGCAATTTATTCTTCTGCCAGGCCACTTTTGCAGGGTACATAGTTCTAAGGCACTGGAATAGCAAAAGAGGCATGACTTGCTAACTTCAAAGAAGTGAGGTATGGAAAAGACCAGATGATAAAATTTTCCCCTTGTAGCAGACATGCAGTCATCCTCTTTCCAGTCTGTGATGCTCTGGAGTACTCTGAGCATCCGAGTTTGATTCTCCCCCACATTGTGGTGATTATTTGAGGTCTTGCTGCTGTATACAGGGCCTATTTCCAAACTATGTGCAAGCTTTTCAAAGTCCGGCTGTGGATGTGAGCACAGGATAAAGAGAAATTGTCCTTTTACAACTTTTTTTTTTTTTTTAAACACCAAAGCTACTTTCTGCATTACCTGAGTTGATCGATTGCTTTCCACTTGCCTGTCTGAAGAAGGGCGTCTACTATTGCACTTTCCAATAGTGTCTCAAGGGATGGGACTGTCATTGCTTTCTGCTGAAAGCAGTCATGTCTTTCATTGGTAATGCAGGTCCATCCCATTCTCTCTCCTGTTTGCTGTATTGGAACTAGATCTGAATTGGCCAAAAGTAAACTCTTCTGCATATCCGCAGTTAAAACCAATCTAGCTGCTATTCTGGGTGACTTAGGGAATTAGTCCAGTTTTGTAGATTAAGACTGTGGAGACTGTATGCTCAGAATACACCCTAGGAAAAACGAATTCCTTCACAGCAATGGTGTACCCCGAACTTGTGTGAACTACAGCACATTTGTACTGTTGTGCAAGGGCATGGTGTGGTATCTGGAACCGAGATGTATGGATGGCATTTTAGCAAGCCAGGGGGCTAAATGACTGCTTCAAAAGGTTAGTCCGTTCCATGGGAAAATATAAGTGTCTGCACACTCCCATAAATAGTTTACAGCATTTATAAACATCCTCTTGTAATTCTAGTAATTGTAAAAATTCCTCTCTGGCAAGCATGTCCCACTGTGTATTGCTTTCCTAAATACCAATGGGGTTTCATTTCCTAGTGAAGTCATAGGATGATAACCAGCCACTGTACTTTACTGAGAGCATAAACTTTCTCCGCAGGAAACCTGAGGCTGACATCTTAAAGAACTTAGGTTGTTCTGTTTCGTCTTTTAAAGAGCCTTACCTAATGGCCTCTTCTGTTTCTATTTTGGAACCTAGTGTTTCAAATAGTTACCAGTAAAATTATTTGGAGAGTGTGGGGGATAGAGAAGGTGTGCTAATTGCCTTGTTGCCATCAGTAGAACTACCAACCAATTAAATTAATTGATAAATTAATACTAGTTGCAAGATCAGGTTTTAACTGACGACCTGTTTTTGAACTGCAGTGAGTGGTGTTCTGTCTGGTTTATCACTTTACTGTATCATTTTACTATTTTGTCCCATCTCGATCAGAAAAAATTGTTTGCAGTGTTGTGGGCTTTTTTTTTTGGGGGGGGGACTCTTTGGAGGTCATAGACATTGTAATGTGACTTCTCTTACTTACACAGAAGTTGGAATCCTTGCCAAGTCCTACATTGATCAAGGGCGGCTTATTCCAGATGAAATCATGACGCAACTGGTGCTGAGCGAGCTCAAAGGTCTAGATCGGTACAACTGGCTGTTGGACGGTAAGTTAGAGAGACAGAAAGTCTGCAGCACTGGAAAGCCTGGACTCCTTTGGTCACTTACAGGTTGTCACACTCCAGTAGCTGTCCGGGGGTCATGGCTTCATGACTCTGCCCCTGTTTCTTTGGCTGTAGAAAGCATGGTGTGCATCTTGCCTTCGGAATGATTCAGCGATGTGTAATTCATGTTGAAAAAGCCCATAGTTGAACACTACCGTAACATTTTGAAAGTGGCAAGTCTGATAATTATTATGCTTTATTCTTACTTTAAGAACAAACACTTCCCTTAAAATATGCATTGAGAAGTTCCCTTTTTAAAGCCTTTTCTTTTCAAAGCCTTTGGAGAATGGAACACTGAAAGAAAGGAGTTGAACTAACTAGAAAGGTAGGTATACGGTGACAAGGTAAGTATGGAGAAGGAGTCTTGCAACATTGGAGTGTTCAATAAACCAGTAACGAAAATCATTTCTTAAGTGTTCTGCAGAGCCTCCTTCACTAACTTTTTGGTTCTGTTCTCTGGAGTGAATTGTTCTGGAATTGTGCCAGCCTTCACAGTAGAGAGAAAATGCCTTTGCCACAGTCTTAATGGACATCAGTGGCTCTTACTACCCCAGCCTATGGAGGAGTGCAGTTGGATGTGTGACGCAAAGATAGTGCCCAGGCTGGATGAGACTGTTTTCAGGTTTTAATGACAATCTGTCTCACTAGATAAAGCTAGAAAGTTGTTGATGTGTCTTTTTATTTAAAGGAAGTGACAAATCCAGTGTTCTCTGCTTTACTGTCATTGCTTCTAGTATAGTGATCTGTTTTGTTTGCTTTTTTTTAACCCCCACCTAATCAACAAACCAAAGAGCTGCAGATGCTTCCCTTTAGTTTTGGGTCCTAAGTACATGTAGTTCTAACCTTGTGGATCTGGTTGTGTAGCAGCATAGCTGAGGACACTAATAGCTTTTTGAACAGGGGGATGGAGTGGAGAGTGTAAGGGAAGAAATCAATTTCTCCTGCATGTTAATGTGCCTTCTACTTTACACTTCTTGAAGCAGAAATTTCTTCTGTGCCAGCAGACTCAGAGACTTACGCCAGGGATAGCTCTGGCATAATCAGCTACGTAGAAACAATATTGCTCTGTTGAAATATGTTAACCAGAAAATCTTTAGTTTGATAACCACAACTCTGCACAAACAGCTGAGCTCAGCTAGGTCAGACTAAATGGAGTTACTAAGCTGCTGGTATGCTTACTTAGCAAACTACACATTTCCACTGCCTAAAGATCGCTACATTTGCTGTGACTCTAGAAGACACCAAGCTATCTGAGTCATGTGCATATAGATATGAATTGTTTAGATTTATTTGCTGTATAATTAGGGCACTTTTCTCTGTGTTTCTAGACACTTCATAACTCATCAAGTCTTGTAAACAGTTTTCTGTGTATCAAGAAAACACTATATGCAGCAACTCCTGACATAAGTTTCAGTGACTTGTTTCTCTAAAGACACTTTCTTTTGTTGAGAAAGTTTCTCTTTACTAAGTCTCAAAGCAAACCCATTTTCTAGCTGCATAACTAAGATGTATGGTGGCCAAATAGCCTGTCAACAGTAAGAAGAAACAGCACTGCTTGAGTCCTGGCTTTACCCTCTTCTTCTGATATTTAGAAGCACTTCCACGAGATCCTATGAACACGAGGGAAATAGGGTGAGGGCAGTTGATGACTGTGATGCAAACCAGATCCATTAGACTTAATGCACAAGCAAGGTCTGGGCTTTAGTGAATCAACTCTTTGCTTTGTGGGATGTGCTAAACAGGACATAAGGCCTGAAGACGTTAAATTATTCTTCACTGTTTCTTCTGTTGTAAGACTATTTTGGCTAGTTCCTTACTTGGGTGGTGGAACTATCAATCAATACTATGCAAGGAAGACTTTCCTCAGGTTTTACCTATGAGAACTTGTCTTTATGGAGATGTTTATTTGTACAGTAAAATGAAAATCCCAAGCTTTTGAAGAGCATGAGGCTTTGTGCAAGAGGTTTGGGGGGAAGAAAAATGAGTCCAGTTAACTTACCGTGCAGTAGCGTGTTCTGCAGCAGCTTTGACTGTTAAAGTTGTTGTGGTCAATTATTATCTTAAATTTTTTATGAAGATCTTCATTTTCTTGTTCTTAATTTTTTTTTCTTCCTTCTTGTGTTAGATTTATCTGCTAACATGTGCCTTCAGAAGCACTCCACTGGAACCACAGAGTTCATGGGGCAAAATGTGTTGTCTTGTATGTTTAGAAAGAGATTTCTGTGCAGCCTGAGTGTTCTTACTGTCATTGTCCTATGAGATCGATCGATACACTCGATATGCTAAAGCTCCTCCTAAAGCTATTCTTTGATGTAAAATTCATCCTGGACTGCCTCTGGTAGATGTAGTGGGTTTACTACAACTGAAAAAAACAGGTTTCTTACGGTCACCTGCTTAATTCAGACTTTTACATAACGATGGAAGTAAGAGTTGTCACAGATGTTTCTAAACTGTTCAAATCTGTCACAATGAACTGTGTGTAGCTTATACTGTTAAAAAGGTGTATCCAGTATTCTTATTCAGACTAGCAAAGTGGTAGGTAGCACATACAGGTATGGAGTCTTTTTGCTTGCATTTGTTATACTTTTGAGGAGGTAGTTAAGTGAAATGATGAGATGGAAGCTGGGAGGAGATTAACAAATTAGAGTACAGCAACGCACTGAAAAATACCTTGAAAATCCGATGTCTCTTCAACCTTTACAACATGACAGTGTTTGTTTTACTCTAGATTGCCTGACCACTAGTTTCTCTAATAAAATGAATCCAGTTCACCTCATAAAAATCCAAAGGCAGAGTTACAATGAGAATTATCTTTCCTCTAAAGGTTTCCCTAGAACGGTTGCTCAGGCAGAAGCCCTGGATAAACAGTGTCAAATAGACACTGTGATTGACCTAGACGTGCCATTTGAGACCATAAAGTACCGGCTCACTGCACGCTGGATCCACCCTGCTAGTGGCAGAGTCTACAATCTTGAATTCAGTCCTCCCAAAGTGCTGGTAAGCAACATAAGTTGGTATTGGGGCTAAAGAAATATCACATTTTGTTTGGTTAATTGAAGTAAAATACTGCTTGCCTAGGTTGTTGCAAAACACGGTAGCTCAGAAGAAGGTGGCTCATTTCATCTCTTAAGTGTGCAGAAATTGCCTTGGTAACAGCCGCTCTCTCCTGGTATCATAGTGTGTTGCCCTTGTAGGATCTCTAGCTGATGGGCAACTTGCTTCTCCTCTGCAGAATGACATGCCACAGTGCCACTCCACTGATAGCTTTCTAAGCTCTTGTTAACATTGTTAACTGATCTGGAAGACTTTCCTTTCCCAATCTGTCACACGGGCATATGAGCCAGGCTGGTTCTTCGCCTGCTCTACCACTGCCTGCGCCATCCAAAATACGGTTTCCTTTTCCTTCCTCCACAGGGCTCGTTCTTTATATCGAGGAAGCATACTGAGTTGTGAACTACTGTAAGTCAGAAGAATCCACTTAATGCTTTCCTTGTATGAATACTTACCAGGACAGTTATTTTCATGTGAGCAGTTGTCATACTGCAAAATTAGATGTAGAAATTTATTACTCAGAGATGCTTCTCAACAAAACGAAAACGTTATGCCTTTAGACTTCATAAAGAGGAACGCTCAATAGAAAGAGAGACAATAGTTGTACGTTGTTATCTTAAAACGTTTTACTTAGGTTAGCCTTGGTGGAACTCAGCTGAAGTAGTATTTCATCCTTAACTATAAATAACTTGCCTGGTGTGGCATCACGTTTTCACCTGGAAGCTCTGTTAAGTTACATCAGAAGCATAGCAGGCTTTTGTAGCTGAAGAAAGTTTTGAGGAGCTTACCTGAAACAAGTTTTGGGATTTCAGTGTTGCAGGATAAGAGGCCAGCTAAAATAACAGGCAACTGGAAGCGAGCAACTCAAAGTGAGCAACCGGAAGCACACTATGCATGCAGCATATATATAATTTAAAACACGGCATTTGAGTCATGGTTATTTTTAACTCAGGAGGAACATAGGCAATCAGCAAGAGAGAATCATCAAATACCTCAAGGAGTGCATTTAAGCTGTAGCAGCTTTTCTGTAAGGAGCACTTCACACTACCTTTCACTAATTAGCATGTGTGTTATAACATATTAAAGCAGTTTGCAGTGTTCAAGTAAAACCATGAACTGGAGCTGAACGGCTGAAATACAGTTGTCTCTGTTATCTGCTAGACCTGCAAAAACCTTAACTGCTTACCTTCTCAATGAAACTAAAAGATGATGGCTTTAGAATTAGTTCAAAGTCACAATACTTATTAGGTACAGGGAGAGCCTGTACAGATGTCAGAAAGAAACCCCCGAGTATTTTAAATCATTGTACTATGTAAACCAGGCAAGTATGACCATATAAATCCATCTCTAATACAATGCAGATGTTCTGGAATATTCTTCACACCTTCATAAACAGAAAATCTTACTGAAACAGAAAATCTTACTGAACAATGATAGTTACTGATTTTCTGAAACTGACTGCCAGAATGGAAGTATGACAGGAGACTGTTTTTATGGTTTAATTGGCTTTGTACTTACAAGATCATTAATGCTTCCACTACAAATGTCAGGTTATATTTGTCTGTAGGAAAACTCAAAATTCTTGCAATTTTAATTAGTATGTGTGAAGGAGCAAAGAATTCCTTATGTCTCTAGTGGGCCAGATTCTGTGCTTTGATGTGCAATGACTTAATGCTCCTAAATAGGAGCAAGATTTTATGCTGCTTCATTGGGTCCCAACGTCTGTGCCAGCAATAAAAAAAAAAAAAAAACCTCTTGGGCTCTTGCTACTTCAAGACTTACATGCTCAAAATCACATAAAGCACGCCTGAAAAGTCAAGTGAAGTGTTCAGTAAAGTAGGAATTGCCATAGCTGGCATGTTTACTCAGTCCTGCAAAAAATGTTGTGGACTTTAGTGCCATTTGTTGTACAGCTGTTGATAAGTGCTAACTCTTCCACAGCATAACTTCCAAGCTGTAACTCCTTTCCCCATTCCAGTGTTGTCAAACAAAGGTTTCTTGCTTCTTTGCCTATATGCATGAACTCACTGGAACAAATCACAGCAATCTTCCCCTATATATGAAAGTTTTGTCTAAACGTTGCCAATATTCAAACGTTCTCGTGGACAAATTAGTGAAATTACTGTATTACTGTAACCTGAATACTGAGAAAATATTTCTGAGGGACTTGAAAATCGAACATGTAATGTTTCAGGTAAGATATGGATGGTAGTCTTTCTCTTCCTAAACAGAAATCTATTCCTTGACTAATTAGAAATTCATTGCAATTTAAACAGGATGTAAAAGAAAACATAAATAGAAATATAAATCAGTGTTTGCTTTTAATCACCATTAGGGCATTGATGATATTACTGGAGAGCCACTTGTTCAGCGTGATGATGATAAGCCAGAGACGGTTACCAAGAGACTGCAGGCTTATGATGCCCAAACAAAACCTGTTCTAGAATATTATCGGTAAGTAGTAAAATACTATACTTCCTATGTTAGCATAGCAAGGAACAAATCTCTTTCAATTGCAGAGGGATTACATCAGCGAACATGGTGTAAGTAGCCATACATACTTCATCAACTAATAAGAAATATAAACAGCAAACTGAGTTAAGTTCTCCATTGTTTAGTTGCATAAAACCCCTTCAGGAGCCAGCTAAGCAAAGGAGCCCTTCATTGCAGCCATATGAAGCTTTGCAAAGAGCAATGCATGTTATTCAATAGATGGTGTATGATTTGAGCAACAGAGCTCTGCTTAGTAAGGTAATAGACACAGTTCCTCTTTTTGAAACTTGGACATTATATCCTCTTCCTGGATGTATAAGGAGAAACCTTACTAATGGACAACGGGCTAAAAAGTAACACATCCAGAAAAACTGTTAGTGAGGCTTTCAAAGTGGCTTTTTTAAAAACAGGACTGTACTGTGCACAGCTAGCTAGCTAGCTACCTACATAAGAACACTGCTAATTACACTGTGGAAGGATAACAAATTGTCAGTCCCCACAGAAGCCAAAATTTTGTACAAACTCTGTCTTAATTTTAAAGCTCGCCTGCTGTGTTAAATGGCACATGGGTAATATATGGGTAATAGATTCTTATAGAATAGAGTCTTATCCCAACCCAAACAAACAGATCAGAGATTTTTTGCAGTATCCTGAAGTGATTTTCCTTTCTTTGTTTTCATATCCACCACCCTTCATTATACTATTAACAAAGCTGTTCAGCCTGTTCAATAGAAGACTAGAAGCTCTGTCTTTGAAGTGGTTAGGTTTTAGAGAAAGAATATTCTGGCTGGTCAGTGATTTTCCTGACTTCAGTAGCTTTCTGAAGTGAAAATGCCTCTAAGCCTCATAGTGAGACATAGGCCTAAACTATTATTACTGATGACTGATAGCATATTTTACAGATAAATTTAGCTACTAGAACTAATTCAGAACAACTTGACTGGGTCTAGTTCACTTGTTTATTTTGATGCACCTTTGCGTACTTCCTTGATCCCTGGGGTGTAACAACTTTACAGTACCTGCTTTATTCAGTTATTTGGATGTACAGCATGTCTTCTACAACGGAACTGCTTCTTATTTTACCCTTCATAGTTTGTTAATAAGTGCTCCATGTACAGCTGTAAGTTTCCTGAACTGATGTGGCCACTAGCTCACTCTGTGAGAAACAGTAATACATGTCCAGTTCAAGTTACCAGTGTTATAGCTGCTCTTAGATCTAAATCACATTTATATCAGCATGCTCCTTCCAGGACAACCTTAAAAAGTGAGGTAGAGATCCTGGAAGGAATAGACAATTTGATTTCAGTAATGCTTTTTTGTTTTCTTCCTTAGGGAAAAAGGGTTGTTGAAATCCTTCTCTGGAACAGAAACCAATAAGATCTGGCCACATATCCATGCCTTCCTCCAAACGAAGTTGCCAGACGTAAGCCAGAAGGATGCTGCCACCCCCAGGTGAAATTAGCTCTAACTTCTGCTTACCTGTCATAGCACAGACTTGATTACATGAGATTCAACAATCAAGGATTTCACTAAGTAGTGTACCAGCCTGATCAATAATTAAAATCTAATTTTGTCCTCAACTTACGTGGTGTTAACACTTTAAGTCTCCTGTGGTCCTCACTTTGATTCTGCATTATATAAAAGAGGCCTAATATTTTTTTTATAATACACTTCAAAAAAATACATTTCTCTCTCAATCAGAGAATGCTCATGAGTGGACATTTTGAATGATGTAGGAAACACTTCTGAATACAGCTTAACTACAAAGCCCTTTGACTTGTTCATTCATGAATTACTACGTGAAGCAATAATGAGATGGAAGCAAGTTACTTAAACGCGTGATTAACTGAGGCCAGACAGAAACTGTTGTGCAGAAAGCTATGCTAGACAGGAACTGGCATAGATATAGGCTGACACCATGAAAAACAGTCACTTTCTTTAGCTTCGCTTACACGTATATCAGTTAGTTTATTCTGCTGGGTGACACCTGCTTGGATGGCTGGCCTTACCCTTACTCCATTCGTGTCTCTCCCCTCAGAATAGCTATCTTTCAGGTGTGATAAACAGAAGATTCAAAGATGAGTAACATATTTGGTAAATCCTCTGTGTTTGTGGAGCTATGTAAGACTTTATTAGTAGAAAGAGCGCAAACACTGAAGAGATTAGCTGCAGATCTACCAGATTCCACTTAATCAATCCTGACCAGTACAACAAATACAATAGGTTTATACAGAGCAGTGTCTTTTCCAATACCTTTGAAAAAAAATAACTGCTCATTGATACCAGTGCCAGGATTTCCAGTAATCAAATTAGTTAGTTTTGTTGTATTACTATAGTAATTTTCATTGTAGCACTTAGTTTTGTTTTCATGAGTTCACAGTAGTAGTTCATGTCTTTTGGACCAGCTCTCATATCTATATATTCACTGGCTAATGAGAATCACAAATCTCCACAGGCTACACTTTTAATAGCCCAGATGCTACATACACTGCTTTTTTCAGTGAACTCCCCTAGCCCTTTTCAGACTAATCAAATTGAGAGTTTCAAAAGAGGTCAGCAAAATCTGAGCACCAAACAACTGTATCTAGGCCTGAGGTAGCTGCCTCCCTTTACTCATGCAGGTCTTACTCTCCTCTTGCAGGGACTGTCTAAAAACAGCTGCATAGACCTGTGGTGCTGACATACAGCTTTTTGATTATGTTAGCACTATCACTATTGAGCCACAGTCTAAGAATGATGGATGATGTAGAACTTGTAAAGCTTTCCCATTACTATAAATGAACAGTTATGGGCAGCAGCTATCACTGCAAGCATCTTTCCTTACACTTTAAGGAAAAATTGGCAAAAAAGCTGTTAATGACCACCTATACGTTCGTCTTCAGTAACGTCTAGATGGAGGCTCTAGACTGAGTGAGTTTAGAAACACACTTACTTCAAAAGGTCAAGGTTAGAAACCATTAGCTATCTCATTCCAGCATGAAACCCTGATGTGCTGCTTATGCCTTTTCATTTCCACAAAAGGCTGCTGTGCGTGTTTTGTTGCCAGCCCACAGAAGTTTTACTTAACTTGGGGTGATGATTTGAGACTTATTCCCACACAAGTCATCCAATATTAGCCCCTCAGAAACATCAAAAAATAACTTTTAGTAGATCAGGAGTTGCTAGATCAACATGACTCTATTGGTAAAGGTGGTAGTATTTGCGAGTCACTGTACTACAGGGGCCTCAATACCCTTGTACTTATGGGAGGGATGCAGTTAAAGAACAACCTTGAGTTACTAGTTTCCCATAATTATTAAGTTAAGAGTTAAACAAGAGTGCAATTTTTACTTTTACTTTCCCTCTCTGGAGTGTCCAGAGAGGACAACGTCAAACTTAACAAAATAATACTTTACTACTCAAGCCAGTTACCTGCAGTTTGCAGCTGGGACAAAGCTGCTGTCTTTATTTATCCTCAATTTGCATTGGAACTGCTAGAGGAAAAAAAGTACCAAGGACAAGAAAAGGCACTTCCATCAGGGAATATGCAGCCCTTATTTCTGCTACTGCATTTGTACTAATACTTAATGTGGTGTATACTGCAGACTTAAAATTTTGTTGTATCAAGACTATAGCCCACAGCTAAAAATAGCTGGAGCTCAGCATAGCTTTTGCCTGATTCAGCAACTGTAGGTAGGCCGCGTTAGTCACTAAACTATTGAACTACAGACAAATTCCAGAGCTTGTCCACAACTAGAGCAGCACATTAAAGGACCAAGAGTGTATATCCATTCCACTGTCTGAGGTACAAACTCTCCACTGGAGTATTCCAGCTGCAGTGTACGTTTCAGAGACAGAACTGCTGTAAAAGTAGTAAGTTAGAAAAACATGGTAGCATTTTAGATTGCAGAAGTTTGTGGAAGGCTTCCTCTGGAAACAGTATTTGGTCTTCAGGCTCCTAAAACAGAAAACTTTTAAAGATATTTCACTTTCTCAGTGCTTGAGCTAGCAGTTTCAGAAACCAACTTTAAAAGCATACGAAATACCTTTCAAATCTTGTAAGACAACCCTATCTGGACTGTGACAAAGCTTTTTGTTGCAAGTGAGGTTTTTTCCTAACCCTTGTACCTCAAGTGCCCCCGTCCCCTTCAAATACGTCTTCCTGTAATGGAATTTGGTTTAAAAAAATCTGAAGTTCATTTTAAAAACAAAGAGAGCTGAACTCTCAAAGGTCATAAAATCCAGTGCTCATATATAGACAAGTATTACTTGCATTATAGGACAAAAACAAGTTTTTTTTTTTTTAATGAAAGCACAATGTAACATTTAAATCCCCTTAGTAGAGGTAGAAAGCCAGTGTTTTCATTTAATTCATCCAGATCTGAAATACTGATACCAGATATGATTTATTGCTATTAGTGATAACCAGATTTGAGAGCTTATAATGTCAGCAAGATAGCATGAATACAGTTGTGATCTCCAATATTCATAGAGTAAGACATGTCCACATCTGTAATAAGACAACAGCAGATTCTACCAAGAATCTACCACTTCTTGTAAACATTGTATTTGTGCAGATTTTTTTTTTTTTCATACTTTGATTACTAAAGTCATGAAAGGCAAGGTTAGTAGCAGAAAACACATCCAGTTTCACATTCGGCAATATATGAGAACCCTGCTCTTCAAGGACAACCAAAAAACCTAGCAGCACATTTTCAAACAATATTACAAGTGTTTCTGGATTACCCACCCTTCAAAATCCCTCCCCCCACCCAAACAAACAAAAAAAAAAATCAGACACCAAAAATAAAGTGCAGTACCCAGAAAAATAATGTCAAGAAAATAGCCATGTTCTTTTCTTTGTTTAAAAAAAAAAATAAAAAGAAGTATTTGGCCTCAGTCTTAACAGTACTATACTGTGTCCATCATTTTGGATTCTTCCTCATCTCTTTGTATCACAGAGTTTAAACTGCAGACATTTGTATTTATGGAATCTTGTAGACCACCTGCATTCTGCAACAGATGAAAAATTGACAGCTTAATTCTTTATAACTGCATATATTGAGAGAGAGAGAGAGAGAGAGAGAGAGTTTTAGTTTAAGTCGGACTTTTCATGTTATCCATCTTAAGATGACATTTTCTTACTACTGCACATTTATAAGTTTTTAAAAACTCATCACTCAGTATTATCACAGTGTGTCAAGAAGCTCCTTAAATTTTATCTGGCATAGCTTGTACTTGGTCTTTTCATTTGTACCACTCTACTATACACATACTTAAGACTCTGTTGTTACATTTTTCTTAAAAGGTACCTTACCTGAATTCTTTCAAATAAGTAGTTACAACTGTAGAATGGTCAATCTCAAGGAGCAAGATGTCAGGCAAAGGGGGCAGGAGACCTGCATGCACGAACAAGGAGCTCCTGACAAAACTCAAACAGAAGAAGGAAGCGTACAGAAGGTGGAAAAGGGGACAGGTAACCTGGGAGGAGTACAGGAACACTGTCAGAGTAGGCAGGGATGCGATGAAGGCGGCCATGGCCTGTTTGGAGTTAAATCTGGGGAGGGATGCCAAGGACAACAAGAAAGGCTTCTTCAAATACATCAGTAGCAAAAGGAAGACTAGGGAATACGTGGCCCTGCTACTGAATGGGGCAGGGGCCCTGGGGACACAGGATCCAGAGAAGGCAGACATACTGAATGCTGCCTTTGCCTCAGTCTTCACTGCTAAGATTGGCCCTCAGGAACCCCAGGTCCGGGAGACAAGAGAGAAAGTCCAAAAAAAGGAAGACTTCCCCTTGGGGCAGGAGGACTGGGTTTAGAGATCATTTAGGCAAACTTGACACCCACGAGTCCCTGGGCCCTGACAGGAAGGCACGCACCCACGAGTGCTGAGGGAGCTGGCGGACGTCAGTGCTAGGCCACTGTGCATCATCTGTGAAAGGACACGGAGCTCAGGAGAGGTGCCTGACAACCAGAAGAAAGCCATTCTCACTCCAGTCTTCAAAAAGGACAAGGAGGGCGACCCAGGGAACTCCAGGCCGGCCAGCCTCACCTCCAGCCCCGGAAAGGTGATGGAACAGCTCCTCCTGGAGGCCA